GGACAACTACACTCAAGTTTCACACTAAACCCTAAACCCTAAAGCCTTAAACCCTAAACCCCGAGCCAGTTTAGCAACCCCCGGGCTGAGGAGGAGAAGCCTCAGCCGGCTTCGCTTCGCCCCGCGGCGAGCCTCACGGAGGCAGACGTGGCCTACGGCCTGGAGGTGCGAGGATTTGGGTCGATTTTCGGGTTTAGGTCTTAGGGTTTAGGGTATAGGGTTTAGGGTTTAGGGTTTAGGGTTTGGGTCCTTTTTCGGGTTGAGGTCTTGAGCCCTAAACCCTAAACCCTGAACCCTAAACCCTAGGGCATGTTCTAGGGGCCTTACAGACGGATGCTATTGATTTGCTTATAGCTTATAAGGGCCATTCTAACCCTAAACCCTAAACCCTAAACCCTAAACCCTAAACCCTAAACCCTAAACCCTAAACCTAAACCTTAGACCCTAAAGTCCCAGGTCTTGCCCAAGTTGATGAACTTGCAGACCGTGCAGCTCATGAAAGGCGACCTCCACCTCTCCACGAAAGCCTTGGAGGGCTACTTGGTTAGGGTTTAGGGTTTAGGGTTTAGGGTTAACTTTACAGTCACTTTATAGCTTTATCACTTTTAGGAATAGCCTTTTTTTGATATTAGGGGGTACTAAGAGTTATAATTTTAGCAAGGTAATAAATAGCAACCCAGGCTACATGGGCTTCCACCACCTCTTGCTCTCCATCCTTCGTCAGTACCCTTCTCTTCAGGCCTCCGGAGTGCCAAACCCTGCACCCTAAACCCCTAATCCACGACCGTGGATTCTACCGACCTTAAACTGCTAGGGTGGAAAAGGTGCTTAATTAAAAAACTCCTAATGCGTGAAACCCTACACCCTCAACCCTAAACCCTAAACCCTCAACCCTAAACCCTAAACCCTAAACCCTAATGCGTGAAACCCTACACCCTACCCAAAGCCCGTGAAGCCCTAAACCCTCAACCCTAAACCCTAAACCCCTAAAACCCTAAACCCCTACAAACTCAACCCTTCTCTCCAGGCTCAGGTGGAGTCGAAGATCGGGACTTTCGTGCGCTCCGAGGCGGGCCGAACGAAGCAAAGCTGCCCGAACCTGGGGGAGTTCCTCTGCCTGCTGGCTGTTTCCAAGAAGTACCTTCGCGGCGGAATGAGTATTTTAGGGCTTAGGGTTTAGGGTTTAGGATGAGTTCAGGGTTTAGGGTTTAGGGTTTAGACTTTGGGGGATAAATAATATTATCCCGTACAGACGTGAAAGCTCAAGTTTTCTTGGGCTTGCGAACTCAGCGAACAAGGTACACCTGGGACGACGTTTCTGCTGCTGTGCTCAAGGAGACGTTGGATCGGAACGCAAGCTGGGCTTTGGACAAGTACCCGTCTCTGGCTGGCTTCTGGGTCCTTCAAGTCCTCAAGGGTGTAGGGTTTAGAAATTAGGAGGTAGGGTCCCTTTTGAGGGGGTCTATAAGTCTAGAAGGGTTACTGTACAGGGGCTTAGGATAGGGGCTTAATGATTGGAAGAGGGGTTTGGGTACAGTATAGAAATATACTGAGGGACACCAATAATTTTGGTAATAATTCATGCTTGTATAGGTAATTATTAAGGCCCCTATATTTGTCTTTCAAAGGAGGGCCTTTAGAGAGTGCTATGAGGGCTCGAAAAGGCTGCTTTGTTCGGGCTTTGCAAGTTCACAAGCGCTGCTTTCCGGGTCTGAGAAGGGCTTCCGAAGGATTGCAATTTACTATTTGGGGGATTCCTTAGTTTTTCTATAGTATACTATTCTTGGGGTTCCTGATTATTATAACTATAGTATACTATTCTTGGGGCTATAGCTATAGTATACTATACCCTAATACCCTATTCTAACCATTAAGGCCCCTACATGCCGCTGATTTCCGCACCCTAGGCTTTGGTACAAGCGCCGAGAACAGACTGGAGCGTACCTTCAAGGCCAGCATCGTCTCGATCCGACTTCTTTGCTTCAACGTCTGGTTCCTGCGCTCTTGTTTCGGAAACCTATGGTTTAGGGTTTAGGGTTTCGGGTTTAGGGTTTAGGGTTTAGGGTTTATAGTTACTGTAGTTAAGCTACCAGCATACATTATGGGGATGCAGGGCATATCACGGTTTACTGGCTTTCTGTTGAAAGGGTCTTGACGTGGTGTGATATATAGGGTTGCATGAGGTCTTATCAGGTTTAGGTTTGTTAAGGAATGTATCAGGGGGTTTGTGCTGGTTCTGAAAGTTGTCCAGAGCTGTCCGGGCATTGGTTCAAGCTTCGATGTTGTTAGGGTACACAGTAACGAGGAAACAGCGCGACTTATGGAACCTTCAGAAACAGGGCCCGAACCCGAACCCCCCATAAAGCCTTAAAGCCCGAAGATCCCCAAGTACCCAATCCAAAATCTAAGCCCCATAAAGTGCCCTTAAAGCCGAAGCCCTAAACCCCCTTCCTAGGTAGTTTTAGGAAGCCCCCTTAAAAAACGCGACCCGTCTTAACCGTACTTATGGCTCTCTTAAAAGGGACCTTATTGAGAGGGTCTATATGCCTACGGGTCCCCCTAATACCCTAAACCCCTAACCCCCCAACCCCTAAACCGCCTAAACCTCTAAATCCCCTAAACCTCTAAACCCCTAAACCCTAAACCCCTAAACCCTAAAAGCCCTGTAGAGCCCGACGAAGCCGAGGTTCCTGCGCAACGTGGTCTTCAAACGCTACGGGGCGCAGGCGACTTCGGCGGAGATTCTTGAGGCAGAGCCTTGGTTGCCTAGGGGAACAGGGCTTTGAGGCTGTTGGGGCTTTTGGGGTTTAGGGTGGTTTAGGGTGATTTAGGGAGGTTTAGGGAGGTTTAGGGCGTTTCGGGTGAAATTAGGGCTTAGGGTTTCGGGTCGCGGCGCCATATAAGGTGGGCTGTTCTTTCAGGGACCGAAGTGAAACTCTGCCCCCTGGGGCTCTTATAGATAAGCTTAGTAGAGGTTCTGGGCATGCGGCTAAAACCGCAGAGTGTAGGAAAAAGGGTGGCCTTACTTGTAAGGGGTAACTGACATACCTTAAACTCTGATCCCTAAATCGTAAACCTTGAACCCTAATCCCCGTCAACCGCTACCTAGGAGCAGCGGGGCGGCCCGGGTGTGAGCTGCACCGACATGCGCTGGGCGGAGTACGAGGAGCAGAAGCTCGGCCCTTATGGGATTGATGAAGGGTTTAGGGTTTAGGGTTTAAGAAGGGTGTTTTAAGGATGCAAAGATTCGTCAAATACATGGGTTGGAGGTATCGACCAAAGTACATGGTAAGCTTCAGGTTTTCCCAAGAGCCCGAACGGTTCAAGGGAGAATGTAGCATAGACTTTGGGGGCCCCGCAATATCTACTAAGTCTACTAGTTCGTTGTTTTTTACCCTTTGGAGAGCCCAGGAAGGGCATTCCGCGGCCGGAGGAGATCAACATGCTACAGGAGCAGATGAGGAGGACGCTGCATGGCAACGGCCTGAACAGCTGGTCCGAATATTTCGTGAACCTGAACCTCCAGCCGCTCAAAGCGGATGAGCTTTCCCAGCTGCTCGTCATGAGCCTGCACGACTCGGTCCGGAAGGGATACATCCCTCTCTGGAAGATGAGGATGCTTCAGCAGAAGAATCAGCAGGACAAGGCCCCCAAGACCAACGATTACCTCGGCGCTGACATGGACAAGTACGACAGCATGCACACCGAGAAAGGAGGCAGCGGCCACAGATGGTGATGGATAGCAACAACCTCTGCAAGAGGCACGAGGATGGCAGATTGGCAAGAGCTGGGGGCAATGTTTCATGTGCAGTGTACAGATTCCGAGACAACCTCACTACTTAGCCGTGCTATCCAAGCTGCACTTTTCCCGCAGGGTACATTTGTTTTAGCTTTGAGCCACGCAACATCCGGAAAATAGTGGTAATCCGATCTCAATAAAAATCTGACAAAAACTGAGGCAGATTCAAGAATTGACTTTTGATTAAGATCTGGACTCTGGTCTAATAATTACAGGTTCAGAATTATTTCTTCCAACAAAGTGTTCAATAAAGGTATTCCTGTATATATATATATATAGAAATATATTGATGTTCAATATTGAAAATGATTCTTGAAAAGGTTTACGAGCCTGGGACGGTCTGCGAATACGTCTCCCAATATTATAAATTTCTCTGAAAATTTACGGTTATAAGAATTTCATTACGAGGCGATATTTTTTCATATGATTTCAAAAATCTAGAGGATGGATATTATTCATTAAGATTCAAATCGAGAAATAAATAATATAAGCAAATATATATTAGATGATTTATTTAAAATATTTATTTTTGAATACTTTTTTCATAAGATTAATAATTATAATTAAATTATTTTTAATCTATTTATATTTAATATCGTAGAGCTTAATTAAATTTATAATAATTTTAATTATCTATTAATATTTAGTCACGAAAATTATAGGGCGGAATCTATTTAGAAAAGATTTATTATTTATTGAATATATGACATTTATCCACTATAAGTCACGATTGATTAAGCCTGGTACGAAATTTATTAATTTGAACTCAATTTTCACGTAGTGCAATAAGGGTCAGAAATTTCTCCCCCTACTATAGGGCTTATTGAGTCCAACAGGTCTTGATCTCTTGTCCGATCTTTACAAACCATAAATTCACCATCAATATTGATCGTTTATTGCTGATATTCTAAGCTCGGAATCGGCACCGCGCTCTGAATTTGATAACAAATAAAAATACGATGGATAAGATTGGATAAGATCTCGGCAGGTATTTTCCCAGCTTCTCTTCAAAATTATTAGTGATATATTGGCTATCCATCTATTATGGTGGGACGATGCTGCTTGCCAAATTCCAGGGGATCCCTGAGGCGCCGATAATTTTTTTTTATTGAATTCGAAAAATTATATAAATTATATATATATATATATCAATTTATTTAGATATTCTTATATATAGTTATTCTTTAATTGAATATAGACTAATCTTCTTATATTTATATATTTTAGAAATATTATTAATTCTATAACTAAAGAAATCGATAATATAATAGTATTGAAATTCGATAAATTCATTTTATTCATAAGATAATTTATAATATTCAACTATTATTAAGAATCGATAATAATATATTATAAAATATATTTTCTCTTTGCTTGATTGATTTCTATAAACTTATATATTAACTCACCCTTTTTCATATTATCCCCCTTCGGATAAGGATTTCAACTAAATTCCCAGAGAATTTATAGGCACGACGCTCCCCCAAATCGCAAAAAGATAACGTAAGGAAACCCAACTCCCAGGGCCAGGGCCGTAAATTTCTGAGAAATTTATAATCTCGGGCTTATTCTCGTGTTCAGCTACAATTTTTTCGGCAAATTTTGGAAATCCACTCTCTAAATTTCTTGAAAATTTATTCATGGTAAATTTCTAGAAAATTTAAAGAATGGATATAGAATGCTTCCAAGCTTCACTTCATATCTTTGTGGGCGACGAAGTCCTAATAACGACATGAGACTTAGTTTTTTCGGCCTAGGAAGCAGGCTATGATGAATAGCACGTCATCTAAATATGACGGGGGGGCGGGGGGGGCAAGATATCGTCATTATATTTGATTCCGATCCGGGAACCGTCTTCATCATCAATATCATCATCGTTATCATCATCATCATCATCAATCATTATTAATATCATGGTCGTCGAGTTAAGTTGTACAGACTTTTTTAAGCTACGGTATTTCGGGAAGGCTAACAGACCGACCCAACATGCCTCGCTGAGCAGCAGCCTGCTCTTTTAGATTGGTCGCACCAATTTGGTCGCACATATTGGACTCACCAGATCATGATCTAAGGTTCGTGTTAATGTTGGAAATGGTAGTAGCTTTGAGCGGTCAAATTATTGGAGATTCGAGATTCCGAGCTCGCTTGTTCGAAATTCGAAATTTTGAACCTCGAACCCTGAACCGCCAACCTCCAAACTGTCGAACTTTCGATCGAGGATGTAGGGTTCCGGAGCGGGATTCTAGGTTCAGGTTAGAGTTCGGGATTCGGTGCGGGGTTCGGAGCTCGGGATTCGGTGTTCGTGCTTCGGGGGTTCGGGATTCAGGGTTCTGAATTCGGGAATCCAGGTTTAGATTCGAAGATTTGGGGCTTGGGACTCCGGACTTCTAGACTTCTTAAACAGATTTATATCGATCGCCGATCATTCATTATTTGAGAATAATGGGTCTATTCTAATTATTCTAAATTCCGTAATTTTTACAAAAACCAGATTATCGAAAAAATGAATATAATTACGAATAATTCAATTGAATCTTTATTCTAATATATTGATAATATATTGAATTTTGTCGATCGATTCTTTCGCAATTAGAAATTCATTAATTTTCGATTTTAGGAATCGAATAATTTAACGAATTCAATAAATTAAAACTTAAGCTATTATATAGCATTGGAGTATATTTTAGAATTTGAAATCTTCATCAATTATTGGAATATATTTTCGAATTTGAAATCTTCATCAATTATTGGA